TGTGTATGGAAATTTGCACGTATCTTACTGGGTATTTTTAATACTCACTCTTACATTAATTTTTCAGATTAGTTCGGGTCGATTGGAACAGTGGAGAATTGGTGATGCGGACTGCCAAGTGGATAAAGAATAGAGAAAAAGAAATAAGTTTGCCATTTTAAATTTAGCAATTTGTTTATTTTAATTTAGAACGCATTATTTGAATTACTTAGGAGTTTATGTTTATGGTTAGATACGCTTTCAATAATTTTAATTTAAACGTTACAATTATTTGTTTATTGAAGAATTTTATATAGTTCCGCATTTTTTTTAATTAAAGAAAAATGAGTTTTCGTAACGTTCCCGTGTTTATGCAAAAAAAAAAAAAAATTGGGGCGTTACACTTCCACATAGTCGAATAGAGTTCTAAAGATCGAGCAAGGTGATCAGAGTTTTGGTTGAAGGAGAACGAGGAGTTCGGTGATCTATAGCAGATCGACGAACCCCAAAAGTCGAGAATTGGTGCAGGGGCTCGCAATCTAGGAGAGCCTTGGTGATTACACTCAAGATGTTAGAGCTAGTCGAGTCTGGACCGTAATGTAAATTGATTCATTTATAGTGGATTCTTATAGGCTTGGGCCAAAAAAATTTTGTCCGATGAGGAACTTTCTCTATTGTCAATTTTTTGGTGTTATTTACTTTCCACAATTTATCAATTGCAATAATTCAACATATGATAGTTGTGCATGTGAATTCATCTAGATTAACTAATAATTATGACTTGTTGCTTTTATTAATTGGTAAATTTAAATTTCACATAAAATACTAATGCACCCCCTCTAAGTGTTAGTTGGATTGAACGTCGTAATTTCAAAATGTATTGTTGAAAATGAGTTTAAAAGAAAGTGAATTTTTATAGAATGTGGCTCAAACATGGGCTAAGTTTTATGCATTCCCATCAATTGCATTATATCCAATGTTGCAATCTTGTTCGAGTTTTTGTCAATACTATCTAATCAAGATTGAAAAATAAGCTACTAATTTTTTTCGTTTGACTTTAGAGCATCACCTGCCATTACTACAATACTATCTCTACTTAGCTCAATACATTATCCCTTGTCATGTCGCTATCGCCACTTTACCTTCCCCCGTTGATTGGCTACATCCAAAGACCCCAACTTCGAGCGTACAGTTCTCTCTTAAAGCGTAAAGCTTCTTCATTGAAATTCATGGAATAACCACACCAAGGCTTTTAGATTCTCATCATTAATAATCAAATGGTGCAACTCACATTGGCAGCTCAATCCTCAACTATTGAATTTCTTTGCAAATTATACATTACACACACATACCTGCACATGCATTCCCAAATGGTGTTGGAAACTTGGAATGCGACTGGGTTGGGGTTGGGATAGGTGAAGTGATGTTGAGGATCAATGGATGTTAAAAAGAAAATATTTTATTTCGCTCCTAAGCCCCTATATATCTCTCTTAAAAACAAAACTGTTTAATTCTCATATTCATTTCAACCACATATTCATATAATAAAACATTTTTCACGTAAATCTAAAATTCTTTCCTACTTTTTAACCCTACATTCCCCAAAAAATCAGTATTCAAAATATCATTTTTTAATAGCCATCATATAGATGCTAAATTTTTTAACCTTTCTTTGAACTACTTTTAATATTGATGCGAAGAACAAGAACTGCAGCTCACTCAAGAGTAGGGAAAAATAAATTTTAGTTTCGAATTTTCTTTCCTTCTGTTTTAATGCAAAATATGATTGTGACACTTTTCTTATAATAGAATTTAACTTTTGAACGATCATTAAAACTTAAGTGTTAGTGTTCGAGTTAACAACCCAAATGGTCACTGAGCTTTAGAAATTATCTCTAAAAGATTTCCGTAAGATCACTAAACTTTAAAAATTATCTCATTCATCACTAAACTTTGCAAAAAGCTTCCTAGGGCATTACTAATTCAGTGATCCTAGGAAAATCTTTTGCAAAGTTCAGTGACCCATGAAAATCTTTTGCAAAGTTTAGTGATGAATGTAATGATTTTTAAAGTTCAGTGATCTCGAAAAAACCTTTTACAAAGTTCAGTAATAATTTGGGTGATTTTATAAGTTTAGTAATCCCATGAAAACTTTTGCAAAATTCAGTGACTATTTAGATTATTAACCCACTAATGTTCAGAAAACTATAGAAAGAAAAATGATTTCTTAAACATTGATGATTGCCATTTTTTAATTGATAGATAAATTACTTTTTCAAATTTATCACAAATTTATTTATCAATTAACTAATATAATATGCTAAGCTAAATGCCGATCCTAAGGACATCGTTTCTCCTCTATAAAATACTCCAAATGAAAAATTGCAATATTGGGCCAAATTCTTGTTGGGCCAATATTCATCTTAAGCCGAACCACTAATGAGATTCATTAAGCCCATTTAATCCTAGGGCTATAAGATTAGCCATGCTCGATCGTATTCCTTCTTCTGCCGCATTTTGCTAGGGTTTTCCGTAAGACCCCACTCTCTCTTTCACACACACACACACACACACACACACACTCTCTTACACAAAATCGCTCTTCTTTTTCATGGATTCTATTTATTAATTTCTGAATTACTCCAATAATAAGCTAAAGCTTTGAGCTTTAGATACATATCTATATCTTTATCTGATTCATATAGAGAACAGAGAGAAAATGGCTACTGTTAATCCATTTGATCTTCTGGGTGATGATGACACCGGGGACGTGAGTCAATTAATTGCGGCTCATCAGCAGAAGCCACCGGTTTCGGCTCCAACTTCAGCCGCAGAAAAGAAGGCTCCGGCTCAATCCCAGCCAGCTAAGCCCGCCGCAAAGCTTCCCTCGAAGCCTCTCCCTCCTGCACAGGCTGGTAAGTTAATAAAGTTTAATAAGGATCCTGTTTTTTATTCATTTGTAATGCTTCTAGGTGGTTATTTGATGTAGATATGGGGGAATTTAATGGAATTGAATTTTTTGTTGGTTTATGTAAAGATGGTTTTGTGAATGCAATTGGCTTACTGGGCTGCTGAGAGACTGGAGGGGAAACAATACCGCCCACCCCATACATTCTGTTATCCGCCCCAACTCATCTATGCGATCAGAAATTGTTTTCCCTGATGTAGGAATTGTGAAGATGATAAAAAGATAAAAAAATTGCTGGAACTGTGTAATTGTTTATGCCCTTGTTTTGTACAGATTCTTTAAAACTCTTTTTTTTTTCCCCGAACTCATTTTCAACCAAACATTCTTCAGATGAAATAGTTTTGCATATCGATCCAGAACCATTTCCCCACATTCTCCAAAAATATGCTTAAAAAGGTCTTATGTTTTATATTTTTGAATGTGTGACACTACTAATAAGTTTCATTGGGCATTTAAATATTATCATATGTAAATGCGAATTCTATTTTCTATAAAATGTTTTTTTAATCATTTTATGTCCTACTTTTATGAGAAATTCTTCATTCACTTGTTTCATTTCTTATTTCTGTTTTTCGCTACCTATATGGTGTTGAATAAAATTATTTATTTTAATTCGTCTTATGATTTCTAATTCTGAAAATTGTATAGTTAATAATTTTTCAATCATTTAGGAAATTGGCATTACATCTTCACTTATTATAGATCCTGGCTATTGGAATCAGTTGTCAGTCTGTCATTCTTTATGCAGTCATATACTGTAACAATCACTTATATTTCCTTCTAAAATCAATAATTTCACCTTTCTATATGCCTTTTTCTCCAGTCACTTCTGGAAACATGTTGTAATTTGATTATGTTACTTCCTGCATTGGTGTAAGGGTAATATCTCCATCTTCATCCTCCGGCAGCCTAAACTCTATTTTAGTATTCGATTGTATTGGAAGGATTCAAGTCTTTAAGGCTTTCCATAATTTTTAATCTTTTTCTGCTTTTCTTGCTATTTTGGGAAGTATCTTTAGCACAATTCAGCAAACACGAAGTTTTATATGGAAAGCTTTGTTATCTTGGGTTTCATTACAGCCCTTTTGCAAGGAACTTTCATTCGGAAATCCCGGCTTAGTGCCCTCTATCATTGCCTTGCTATCTTGTGTCTATTTGTTCAATGAAATAGGTAGCTGTTGGGATAATGTCACGCATCTGTTCACTGCACCACATTGGACTCTTATCTCTCTAAGGAAGACCTTACAATCGTATTATACCCCTAACTGCACTCGTAAGTGTTGTTACCAGAGGATAGGAGCTCTTGAGTTAGCTTGGTTTTCAAATGCACAGGTGCTCTTTTTGCTTCCACAACAGATTTGCTATTTAGCACGACTTCGAGGCCTCTACCTTAGAATGAGTTAGATTTCCAACTAGAAGGAAAAAGTGTCTATTACAAGTTCTCCATGAGTTGCAACCCACCTTCAGATAGATGTGACCCATGGGGCTAAACTAATGAACTTTGGACATTTGAAGTTACAGGCTTCAGAGTCAAGTTGGATTGCCCATCTATGATTGTGGTCTTGTTATTCCATTTTTTGTTGGGAAGGGTTCAATCTCTCTCTGTGTTTATTTTTTTTATTTAGATTTTTTTTATTTTTTTAGCAATTCATGTGATGTAGGCTACTTTCCTGTTTTCTCTTTATTGTGGTTTAACTGTGGGTTGCATTACTGTTACCATCATACACATTTATTTTGAGGTTCATTGGTACCAGCATAGAACTGCAAATAGTCATTGCCTTTTAGAGCAATCCTTGCTCTATAACTTAGTTCATCAAGTAGCCCGGTAAGGTCTATCAAGAATTTTGTTTTGTTGGTGTGCAGTTTGACACTTGTCTATAATATAATCTATCTTGAGCAGTGAGGGAGGTCGGTAATGGAGGTCCACGTGGAGGAGGTCGTGGTGCTGGCCGTGGACGTGGATTTAATCGTGAGTCTATGGATGAAAATACATTTGGAAACAACAATGGATATTCTGGCAGGCACAGAGTTTCTGAAGAAGGAGATGATGGCAAGCCCTCTGAAAGACGTTCATATGGTGGACCACGTGGAGGTGGGGGTTTCCGTGGTGGTCGTCGTGGTGGCTTCAGCAATGGAGACACTGCGGAAGGTGAACGCCCTCGGAGAGCATTTGAGCGACGTAGTGGGACTGGACGTGGGTAAGGGATTTACTAACAAGTTGTCATTGCATTTTGTGCCTTAAGCCTTTCCATCTCTTCGTTTTGGCGTGAGTTATGTACCACATTAGTTAGTTTACTTCAAATTTTTGTTGTGTTAGTTGTGAATCTTATGTTTTCATTATTGCTGTTGCAGGAATGAATTTAAACGTGAGGGTGCTGGTCGAGGAAATTGGGGAACGCCTACTGAAGATATTGTTCCGTAAGTGCTGGAGTCTTTTTAAGCATAGCTCTGGATCAGAGTTTCATAACATTGTTGTTCAATTTATGTTGTCTTGTTGCTAAATATAGGGAAGCTGAAGAACCTGTTAATGAAGGAGAGAAGAATGTTGATACTGAGAAGCAGCTGGAACAAGAAGATGTTGGAGATGCCAACAAGGATACTTCTGTGCCTGAACAAGAAGAAAAGGAGGAGCCTGAGGAAAAGGTGATTGCCTTTCCACTTTGTACCATTCATGGAATTTATAGGATTTTGTGCTTTGGTTCACTTGAAAGTTGAAACAACTGACTCAGTGCTTTTGTTATGCATCGATTTGCCTGACCCGACTTAGAATCAAGTGGAGATCAATCTGCTTCCTTTTTTCATTGAATGTGGTTGTCATGCATATTTTGACGTTAGCTTTCCAACTTCAAAAATTCTTTTTGACTTTCGTGCAATAAAATTTTGTTGAACTTTGGATCTTGCATAAAGCTGTTCCTGTTTGAAGGCCTTTCTTCATGATGGGAAGGTGTACTAGTATTCTATATGATCTGAAGTTAGATTTTTCTGTTATGAGATTTGGAGATGTGGAAATGCTGGCAGTTTTCATGTATTTTCTGATTGCATTGATATTGATCCATTTCTTAATGTAATGTAATGTATTTTATCTCTGAACAAAGAAACATTGATATAAGTACATCATTTCCGACATCTAGGTTCAGTGTCACTTAAACTGTAAGGTTGAACAGAAATACTTCACTATAAATTTAGTTCGGTTTTTGTTTAGGCATTTAAACTGGGAAGTCATTACTGTTTCTCAGAAATGAATAGTGCAGACACAATATTAGCAAATGATGTAGGACTTTCTCATATCTTGGCATGAGTTAGTGTTACTGTTTGAACAATAACTTTTCTTTGTGTTCTAACAACTCATTTTCTTCAAATTAGTTGTTCTAGGTCTTTTATATCTGAAAAGGACTTATACAATTACTATCTGCCACTAGGAAATGACACTGGAGGAGTATGAAAAATTAAGAGAAGATAAGAGAAAGGCCTTGCCGGCAAATAAATCCGAGGAAAGGAAGGTTGACTTGGACAAAGAGTTTGAATCCATGCAACTTCTGTCCAACAAGAAGAATGACGATGAAGTCTTCATAAAATTGGTCAGACAACTGTTGCAGTTAAAGCTTTCTTAATTTCTTTAACTAAGCTAAGACAAGTTTATGGATTATGTTTAAATTATTGGTGATTGGATAGGGTTCTGAAAAGGATAAACGTAAAGAGGCGGCTGAGAAGGCCAAAAAGGTATGTTTAAATTTCATTATAACTGTATAGGACTTGCCCCTTGAGACAAATCTTCTGCATAATCTCTTCTGAATTTTGGCTGGTAATTATTGACTGTTTTTATTGAATTTTATCATTAAGATCCACTTGTTGAAGATCATTTTTTATTTTGTCCACACAGTTCTGGTGGTTCCATTGGGAAACGTTGTCTATACTGTATGTGCCGTTTCATGTCTACATGTTGAAGGCCGTTGTCTTTTTATCGAGACAAGACCTTGCATGACTTATATGCCACTTGTATTCCCTGAACTACCTTACATTCTGGAGTGGTTCTGTTACTTTTTGCACTGCTCTGCAGTATGTCTTTTTTTAGGTTATTGGTGATGGTCAGTGTCTAAACTTGAGAGTGTGTTGAGGCCAGTTTTTGCCAACTGGATCTAGCTTGAACCAATTTATTTAACAATTATAAGTGCAGATTGTGCAGGTTTTTATTTTTATTTTTTATTTATTTATTTTATCTCGTTAGAAGATTATTATCCTATAATATAGTTATGTGTTGTTTATCGTATTGTTACCTCTAGATATATAAAAAAGAGTTCTCCTTGGAATTTGCTTGGGTGCTTCCATTGTGATCTTTGTGGTTCTGATATTTAAATTTAACTGTTGCCTGTAAACTATGCTTACGATTATGATTTATGCTCGACTCGTGCAATTCTTAATTGTTTTTTGCTTCATGTGCAGTCTGTGAACATTAATGAGTTTCTGAAGCCTGCTGATGGGGAGAACTACTACCGACCTGGCGGCCGTGGTAGGGGACGTGGTCGTGGTAGGGGTGGATACACTGGAAACAGTATGAACAATGCGCAAGCCCCATCTATTGAAGATGCTGGGCATTTCCCTTCCTTGGGTGGGAAGTAAGGGATCTCGACCTGCCTCCCGATCTCTCTGTTTTTTGTGGTTTTCCGATCTTTAGTTGCTCGGAGGTGGCCTGTGTGTATATTTAGATGTATTCCAGGAGCTTATACCTTGGTTCTTCGACGACTTTAATGAATTAACTTTGTCATATTTAGGGCATTAGGAACCCTTTTTTCTTGAACTGCATGGGATCAGTTTAATTTTGGAATTTGATTAAAACAGTTTTGTTCAATTCTACTTCATGGTCTTTCGACATGTGCTGTTAGTTTGCTTGCACTTTATTCCTGTGATTGAGGCATTTGTAACTGCCTGAGTAGGACTAAAAATATTTTTAGATTGACGGTTTTATTAGATGATGGAATTGCAGGTGGGGAGACACAAATAAGCCTAGGCAAAAAATTCGAAAAACCGATCAAACTGAACTTACTCAGGTCAGTTTAACATAGGTGATTGGTTTGGTTTGGTTTGGTTTTTTTTTTAAACAAAATCATGATTAGTTGGTTTAGTCATGGTTTGAGGTCTTCAATTGTTGGTTAGTCGAATCAATTTGATCCACTTGCATATTCATTTTTATTTTTTTTTTAATTTAAGAAAAACAAAAATCAAAAGATAAGCCTTAATTTCATAAATATATTTTGGTTTCCTCTTAATTTATGATGTTATCGGTAAGTAATAGTATTGATAATTTTCTTTTCCAAGCTCATGTTATGTTAAGCATTTTTTTTATTTTTTATTTTTTTGATTTAAGCAGTTAGATTACATAACACAGAAAAACAGCAAAATTTATATGTTTTATGTTGATCTGTCTCTATTAATTTGATTTTATTTGTTAGTCAATTGTTCTTGTAATATAAAATTATGAACCGTGCTATACGTACCGAAATTTTTTACCTAATATTTTACCTACTACTCACAATAAGAGGTGGGGGTCATGGCTTGGCATTATTTAATAAACGCGGGACCCGCTTGTTATGTGAGAGGGGGACATGGTTCGGTAGTCTCCCCTCTGTATATACAATTTTTTCCTAAAATTATTAAGTGATTTTAATTATTATAATTTAAGTGGGTTCAAAACTTGGATAATTTTAAAAAGTAAAAATAAAAATAAAAATCAATTTGGACTAAAAATTCAAACCGACTAGCCAAATGAAATCAAATTGAACCAAGTTTAAGAACTAGACTCAGCTGGTTTGGGTTGAAATTCGTTCAAATTGACTAATTTGGTTTTGATTTCGAATTAAAGTCGAAATCAATCCAAATCAAACCCCGCCCAAAACGAGACACAAATGTGAGAAGAAGCAAATTTCTGAAACTTATTCAACATCACATCAAGGGGCCTAATATGTGGGAATTACTTGGTTGGCTCTAACTTTGAAAGCCATGCCCATGATTTTGAAGCATGATGGAGGGAAAAGGAAGGGGTGGGGGCGTGGGGGGGTTGATACTCGTACACGGGCATGACAGGGCACAGGCGCTGTCACGGCCCTTGTCATTGTAGCACGTCCCGACGAAGGGGTTATCTATGAGACCATAACCAAATAATAATGATAGATGGATTAGTACAGAGTAATTTTGTAGAAATCACTCTTGAAATTGTTCATGCTAAAGTCATGTCAGTGAGCCTTAGTGTCCTTCTTTTGATCCTCTTCTATATCTTATTCTAGTTTCATGGTGTTTATTTATTAGTTTATCATTTACTTAATCACCTTTATGAATCACACTATAATAATACTTGTTATCTCATTCGATATCGAATTGAGCACCTCACTAAATATTTTCATGAACCCCAAATAGATATTATTCATAAAATTTAAATTTTTAGAGAACAAATGCATAAAATTTAAAGAAGATTAAACTGTGACACATAATTAATTAGAGAAGAATTTCAATTTTGTACAACTTTGTACAAATATTCTTTGAATCAAACACGTTGAATAAAGGAACATTTCCACAGAGTACCAAAATAACATAAGAAACAGTAATTATGCTGAGTTTTAAAGCATCAATGGAAGAACCGAAGAACCCAACTTTATACGCCACGAAACATCACAGCAGTTGATTTTTAATTTTCCTTCTAGGAAGAGCAGCAACCAGATTTCTGGTTAACGGGGTGCCCTTTGATCTGCACAGTTGGAGGTCGGGCATTGTTCATGCCCGGTTGACTTGCCATCCTGTAAACACGCAAAAGAATATTCGTAATCTAGATAAAACACATCTCAGGGAATAGTAACAGATCATGCTTGGTTAACCTTAAAAGTAATTGAATTTGCATTAAAGAAATTTTTTATTCTGGAAACGTTTGGATAGATTACTTATTATCTCATACTTGATTATTGACAAGTAACTTAATTGCACCCTACTCTTGTTTATCAATAAGACCCCGTTTGGCATGACTTCAAAGTTAAAACTGATTTTCAGACTAAGAAGCTACTTCTAAAAGTGCTCTGTGTGACTAAAAGGGCTTTTAGAGAAGCTAATCTCAGGTCTTCCATAAAAAATAGAAGCAGAATCTATCCCAAAGAGGCCCTAAGCTAGCTTACCTATGTGTTAATTTTTTTAAGCTTAGCCAAATAAAGAACTGTCACAATACAATACTAAGCAATTTCAACACTACAATCTCGACGCACTATAAAACCCCTATACCTGTTCTTGATTGCAGCAGCCATAGCCATGAAAGTCTCCTCGACATTAGTGGCATTTTTTGCACTTGCTTCCATGAAAGGAATCCCAAGTTCATCTGCAAATGCCTAAGGAAAAACAGCATTACTAATTAATCAGAACTGATTATGTTATTTAGCCTCAATCATTCAAAAATAAATTGAACGCAAGCACGAGGATTTGAAATACGAAGTGCATTAAAAGTTACTTTAGCTGTATCGGATGACACAACTTTTTGGTCTGTGAGATCACACTTGTTTCCAACAAGAAGCTTGTTAACATTATCACCAGCATATCGGTCAATTTCGTTTAACCATTGCTTAACATTGTTGAAGCTGTCTTGATCAGTCACGTCATAAACCACCTGATAAACGAATCATTAAAATAGGTAGATTCATCACAAGGAAACTGCCATAACAAGTATTGGCAATACTTACAATGATACCATGTGCCCCACGGTAGTAGCTGCTAGTAATTGTTCTAAAACGTTCTTGTCCAGCAGTGTCCCACTGCAAAAGGAAACACATTAGACGGAATGAAAATTGAATCTGAAACAAAATACACAACAGACAGGGCCTAATGACCTGGGGTAGAAAGGGCATGGAGTGAACCCATATGAATGTAAATGCTATATGATCAAATGATTCGAATTCAATTATTTGTAACAATTGCAAAATTTTACACCACAAAATACCCAAATTGTGCAAAGAAGTTTAACATGTAGGGAACCACAATCAAGATCTTATATTCATCACAAAGCCATAATGGGCATTGCAAAAACTTACTATTTGGAGTTTAATAGTTTTTCCTTCCTGCTCTACTGTGCGAATTTTCTGCATCAAAGAACATGTGAAATAGTTACAAGAGTTACGATGTTGTAATTGATAGACTGTACATAAGGCATCGATCGACTGATCACTTACAAAGTCTACACCAATGGTACTAATATAACTTTCAAGATATGAATCATCCTGAAAACAAAGATGAAAGATAGTTAGGGAAATCATCGCTTTTATTAGGATTTTTGGTCATATCTCAAATGCGATGAACATATCTAAAACCAATCGACAAAGCATCGCTTTTACTAGGATTTTTGGTCATATCTCAACTGCGATGAACGTATCTAAGACCAATTGACAAACGTTATTGAAAGCGCAAACAGAAAGTGTAAAATATAAAGAACATATTTTAGGAGTTACTAGAATATGGAAAGAAGGAGACCATGTTTGCAGGCTACAATGGTTTCCTTAAAAAATGCATCAACAGCAAGTGAATCAAATCATGAAAGGAAATCAAAAGGATAACTACCATGCCTCCCTGCACCACCACTACCTCCAACAACAACAACAATAAGTGGTAACACTGCAAACAGATAATCCTATCAGCTAACATAAAAACGCTGATGTATCATGCAAGGCAGCAAAACAAGTTTTATAGGAAACTCTAACAAAGAAAAAACTGGACCAGAAGAAGGATTTTAAAGATCCCCTGTTTAATAAAAGAAGGATGGTAATCACATTAAAGATTGATTAGGAACTTACAGCAAATCGTAAAAGAAGACATGATTTTCCTACACCAGAATCTCCAATTAGCAAAAGCTTGAAAAGGTAATCGCTGCAAAAAAAACAATAGAAAGGTATGTGGAATTTGTAAGACAAATATAGAAATCAAACTGAATAAAATCCAGAAATAACTTATGATAGATAAGTGCATATAATTTTGAGACATGGACCCAACACTACAACACATCATCCAATTATTTAAAAAAAAAAAAGAGAGAGAATTTACATCACTGCTTGGAAACAGGACAAATCTTTTATTCTTTAACTTTAACTAAGCACCACCATGAATTTGGGTAAAATGAAAAATGTACTTTATGTATGAAAATTTGATGATAGATGTAGGCATCTCCTGCCAACATTGAAATTGTGTTTTGGTCTAAATCCTCTGAATGCTATTGGCTAGGATTTTCCATTTTTCATGACATGTAAATTTGCATCTAACAATTAAAACAAACATAAGCTCGGTAGTGGGGCCATGATTTTCACGTTGGGGGGAGGAGTCGCCCCCCCATGCTTGCTTCAAAGTCAGAGCCATGACTGTACACCACGAAATGCATATTATGCATCACAAATACAGAATTGAAATTTCACTGTTATTTAGAAATGCCCATTAGGCAACAAATATATGGAAAAGGAAAAAATCACCACTAAAGATATTTTCTCATGAAAGGCAGCTAAATATAACAAAAATTTTTTGAAAGATAACTTTCTGAAACCCGCATATTACTGACCTCACGCAGACAATCTAGAAAACTAATGTTGATTGCTCCAATCAGTTAATTTCTCAATGTCATCTGATATCCCCAAATATATATTAAAAATCGATTGATTAACATTCTCCTTCAAAGAATTGGCATATACATAAGATAACAATTTCACGAACGGAGAAAATTTTAATTACAACCCGTATATGGATCTCTATTCATATCATAACATCATCAGTCTCAGTAATCAAATAGACCCATAAAAAATCACATCAGAAAAGAGAACAACGAAAAAAACTACTTTCAGATAACAGATACAGATTTAATTGAAAACCGACGACATATGAGTAGAGTTGCCTCATGGAACATGGAATTCGAAGGACTCAACATAAAGTATGAATAATTGAATCATACCAATAAATATTTTTTTAATGACGAAAAGAACTTACTATTCAGGATTCATGGCCAAATACAAACTTCAAAATCGATCCAAAGATATAGCGTGAAGGCGATAATTTTATTTTGCTTTGAGAGTTTGACCAGATATTAAGATCGCAGGGGGGGCGAGAATTAAATTGAGATGAAAAGGGAATTTCTGAAACTTCTTCAAGATCACACCAAGAGGTCTGATTGGTGGGTGGATGTACCAATTCACGCTTTCTTGCCCACAATACATGGATCGTTGTCTAATGTACATAGATCGTTGTCTAATGTACATAGTTTTGTTGGCATGGAGCGTTAGTTTTGACATTAGAATGGTGTGATACACGTTCATAAATTATGTTTGACCTCTATTTTTTACAATTTCATTTTTTTAAATTTATTTTCATGGGAATCAAAATTTTTATCAATTTTTCCGTGACATATTCTATCAATATTTATCAAAATCAAATGAGGGCCTAACTATAATCACGCGATTGTATTAAATTTAAGCCCTTGTTTGATTCTCGTTACTTCAAAAAATACAAAAATAAAAATAAAAACATAACATTTCTCACTCTCTTCTGTTCAATTACCCATTCTTCAATAAAATAATATTACACACTAATCCAAAATCTTTTTTTTTTGTTTTTTAACCATATATTCTCCATCAATTTACTACTTTAAAATGGATTCTCAACTAAAATTGGAGCCCAAACAAACACCAAGTTTTTTTTAAAAAAATTTCTTATTAAAAAAGTATTCATAAAAGACAAAAATTTCAAGATAACAAATATTGTCTAGAATTTCACTTGGATTTAGTCATTTCTACAGAATTTTTTGCTCACCTACTTGATAGATGAAGTCTTGACAGTAGATGATTGAATGTAAAAACTGACTATTTTTTAAATAATCCAATGATGTGACATTTTGTAGGAAAATGGGCAAATAACTATGTACATCAAGTACGTTTACTGTGAAAGTTAAGTGACTTTTGGTACAATTTAACCATGAATATTGTAGAGGTTCAAGGAAAATATACTCCATAATTTGCTAGAATGGCATAGAGCATCAATCCTTCACCTCAAAGTTGAATGAATTTCAAACATCCATTCAAGGTGTTAGAACTATAAATAGGGACAAGTTGTCCTCTCCATAAATCAAGCAAAATCAAACTAAAGTATTATGCATCAGTATTACAGTCATTTTCATCCTTAAAACTCATAGATCCGCTTTTCGATAACAAGAACAGCCAAGCTTGAATCATTTTACTTGAAGTCCTCTCCCTCTTACGTTCCTCACTTCAATACCCTCTTTCTCTTTCTATATATACATTGCTATATCGCATACATACGAGATAACCCACATTACAAATGAATATATGATTTCTCTCACCTAAAGAAAACAATTGTTACACTAAGAACAAGAATGTGTAATTCAAGACACCTGTCATCCCTTTCTTCCTAAACTCCACTTTTATGTGCATTTGATGATAGCTTTCTGAACTTTAAAGGCCAAAATTTGGTGGGGAGGGGAGGGGCGCCTTTTTTCTTTTGTAAATTATTTTTGATGATTTAAGCTATTGTTAGCTTTTACATGAATTGGTATTGTGTAGTTATTTTTATTATTATAATTATACTTTTTAAATAGTATTGTCGCGATTTGTGGGTCCACCTTGTGATACTTGCCTTCTTTCAAAAAAAAAAAAATTCCAATTCATGAATCGACTCTTCATATGTTTCATTTAACTCATTCACTCTCATCTAACTCTCTTCTATCATATTCTTACTTTTTCCTTTTTCTTCAAATCTTCTTGAAAATTTGGTTTCTTTCGTTTCAGTTGTAATTCTCCCTCCCTATTTCCAACCATTTTAGGTAATTTGCTTGATCATCACTTATAAGATACACTAACACGGTCAACTCTTCAACTTTTTCTCAAGCTGTATTTCATAAAAAATATCTTTAGTCTTCCTTGTTTTCATCTCTAATAGTTTTTCTTCTACTTCTTTTTTAATCCTTATTTCCTCTATTCTCTATTTTCTAGCCATATTATATGCTTTTCTTTCCAGAGTAATGTCATCGTATTGTGTTCGGTGAAATCCCGTAAGTGTATGGGATTGTTGATAAGTAATACGTAATGAGTAACTTGTATCTTCCACAAAGAATGAAATCAATAAAGTACTAGTTTTTAATCAGATTCAAAGTGAGCAAACAAAAAAGATTTATAGTTTGTAATTATTCTAAATTAATCTACGAAAGGGTATAAAATTTGAGTTTTGTATGTATATGGAATGAGCGTATTGAATTACGAATCTATCTATTATTATCTATTTCAATTCTCAATCGCGTATAGTTAGTTTCATACATACATTCTTGACAATCGATAATTCTATTGTAATTAATTTTTTTCCAGATAAATTAAATATATTCTAATCACGACCCGAATTTAGTCCTAATCCGAATTCAAATAAATATAAGACATTCCATTTCACGATTATCTCAAAATTGCACACATGATAAACATAATTCCTAACATTTATTACACATTTGTTAATCAAACAGTGTTCTAGACTTATTGGAAATCTCTCAACACTACAATAAACAACAATATATTTAATTGGTGATAAAAAAATCAAATAATAAAAATAAGCATGCAAAATTAATTAAGAATAGCAAGAATTTAACTAAATTACTTGTCTTGAACTAATAATAAATAATAAAAGGTTCATCTTTATCCAATAGCTAAAAAGAATTAGCCTAACATGTTATTTAATAAATCAAACAAAAATATTCGGAAAAACATCACCCGAAACTGAAAACAAAGATTGAAAGGTGAAAAATCAATTTTTTCTTTGTTAATCTTCGATAACTCATGTTAATCACTTTTGAATCCCTTGCTAGCCTCCATCTTGTGTTGAAAAATATGTATAATATGTGGAGTCGGGCGGCAAAGCCTTTAATCCTGATAAAAGAAATAGTTTTCCCACCCTTCAAGTATCCATAAATGGAATCTGTTTTGGGCAAGTCGGGCGCAGAGGCTATGGGGTTGGTCAGTAGGGCATCGCGAATCCTGGACATAGCTGTTCCAGCTGAAATACTTGGAATAATTCTACCACTTCTAAGCCCTTCCTCGTGGGTCCTTCAAAGACCGTATTCTTAGCATCCAACGTATTGTATTTTCCGGACGTTTGAGATTTCCTAATCGGACAACTAAACAAACAAAAAAAGGACGATTCCAACCTACGATCACTTTCCAACACGCTTACTGTAACAGAACTGGTGCCGGATATGCCAATCCATAATCACTAAGTCACCTTTCCTTTCCCTTTCTTCTTGACTTCAACCCAAACTTCAGACGATTTTGTTACTTTAGAAGCTTTGGGCTTTTTCAAAGGACTCTTTGAAGGAACTATGGAAATTTTGTGATAAACTGGTTTGCCCAAGGTGGACGCTCTTTTTTCGAATGTTTGGTGTCATTTTTTAAATTGCACTTGATTTGTAATAAACAGTTTTTCCAACGAAACTAAGCACTGGCCGCCATGGCCCAAACGAAAGTCAAAAGGCTTCTGGCCCTTCCATTCCAAGAGTGAAGGACTCGGGTTTCATTGGACCAGAGAATGCGATTGCATTATAAGGTCAAACCAGTATCTAGTGTGGCTGTTGGAGATTTAGTAAGTCTTTCCTTTTCCCTTGTCTACCCATCCCTTGTAGTTTAAATAGTATGCTAAATTTGATTATCATAAAAGTTTAGGTCAAAAAAGAGGATGCTGGCCGTTTAGGCCCACATTAATGGCCCATGCGTACATCGTATGTTTCACTGCACGTGCCAGTTAAGGATTTTGCTCTCAGTAAATGCACGCCAAGGTCCCGTGCATGTGCGACAAAATGCTTGTGCACGTGTGGAGTTACAAAATATTCAATTTGATGCACTTTGGTCCGTCAAATTATTCTTCATTCAATTTAGCTCTTTTTTTTTATATCTTCTTGGTCCTTCATCGTCCAATTCCATCTAATTGACTCCACTCTTTCTCTAATCATCAATATTAGGTCCGAATCAACTGTTAGCACTTTGCGATTTAGTTCGCAAACTTTGGATTCAGTTCATTTTGGCAAATTTTTTGCTGCTTTTGCTCACTTTCATCATTTTTTTATCGAGATGCACCTAACAAGCGAAATATATCCAAAATTAAGCCTCAATTCATTTAAAATAACAATAATTGCCAAAGTTTAACAACTAAGATAAGTATATGAAATACACTTATCATATTATGTTTTCAATTTAATTCTTCTAACCTTCCATGCCTTCTATCTTGGCAAGTAACTTCTCAAGTTGGGCGCTTCCCCTTCTACTCCTTGGTATTTAGCTTTTTATACTTTTCATTTAGATTTTTACTTTTCTTCTTTTGAGCCTCAAGTTTTCAAGACTTCCTTCTTGTAGAGTTATGCAACACAACATATTGTGATTACTTAAAAAGAGCACAGCTTATATAGCTGCATGAAAAGAATTTGTCATTTTAGGTATGGGTTGGTAAGGTGTTGATTTATCCTCGGTTCATGACTCGATTTTTTGTGTGATATTTGGAGTATTTAGGCATATATACAAAAGCTTGGTTTCAGTTATGTGAGATTTTTATATGTATTGCATAATCCTGAATATTTAAGAAGTCGATCATATTGAATGAGGATATTTGGTGCAGTTAGCGTATGGAACTCAACAGGGATGTAAGCTCTTTACAGCCGAATCTTTGGAAACAATTTAGTGTTCTTATGTATTTTGATTTTGATTCTCTTTTCAAGTTCCTGAATATACCGTAGCCCTAATTTATCAATGTTTGATAGTTTAGTTTTTTTGAGTAAAAGATTTGCGGGCTTTATATTTTTGAGGTTGATTAGCATATTTCCAAATGTCAGAACATCATCTTTCACAGTTTAATTTTTTCTAATACTCAGCTAGGTCTCGACAATTTTTGTTTTTGAGGTTAGTTTTCCAGAATCTTTCGAGCTGGTTAGCATATTTTTTTAAAGTTATAGTATGTTACCTTTCAAGTAAATTTCGGGTCATTTAGAAAGTTTTTTAATGAAATGAACACACTTATAATTACACAATAATATGCATATAATGCACGAGGCATGCTAGGTGTACAATATCTTTTACACTATTTTTGACAATCCTCTCACATCACATGAGTGGGCTCCGCGATTAAAATAATCTTGGGATCCACTCATCAAAAAGAGTGTTACACTCAACATTTTTCATAATGCACACAT